CTTTCGATCCAAGGGGGAGAAGAAACAAAGTTTGGACGAAAAGAGGGAAAATAAAAGACCCCAGGGGGTTTTATTGAAAATGACAGAGCAACCTTTGGATGACGAAGCTGCAAAATTGTTACATTAATTGCCAACTTCGATCGGTTACCCACTAAGTAAATATTTTATATACACGCAGTGGGTACAGGTATATAATGTACCATAGCATTTCTATACAAATACTCTCGTAGCATATAAAAGCAAAAGTACATGCATACCGAGTATACAGAGCTTATACCAGAGGTAAAGTGAAAAAATACAAAGGTAAAAGCTTCGTTCCTGCTCTCCCATTCAAATCAATTCCACGCATTCTGTACACACAATACAATATAGGCTTAGCTCGCGTATACTTTGTACGACCTGTCGTTATACCGTCAGTCGAGTCCTGTCGGTTATCGCCTGCGAAACGATTTATGCCGCACACAGTACGTACATACACACGTCATACATTTGTACAATGTACGCCCCATTTACGTAGTATAGGTCTCTTTGTTTGCTCGAGCTCGCGTGTATATTTATACACATTATTCATTGCGTTGCATTTAAATTTGCAAACGAAGAAAAAAAAGAAAACCAAAAAACATCATCCCGCACGTTTTTATAAATTGAGATTGTACGCGAACATAGTGAATATGATGAAGATGCTGGTAAATTCCATTTGCTAACGATTGTAGTTTCTTTTTTTTTTCTTTTTTTCGATAAACAAAACCCCAGTCGCGTCCATCTAAATAACAAACAGTTCCACGACACAGAGCACCCGGTCGTCGGCCGCTTCGAAAAGGGCCCCTTGACCTCTGTCCCCCATTGCCATCATGCCTCGCGCTCGAGCGACGTTAACGTACACCCATGCACACATACACGAGGGCAAGTCCGCCCCTCTGACAATGCGGGGCATCAGTATAGAGAGAGCAAAATAATAAGCCTCGTATCGTTTAGTTCGCGCATACATCTATAGGTATACACATGTGCACGTCAACCGCAAACTGAGCCGTCGCGCCAATAAGATGATGGGGAAGCACCACGGCCGCCTCAAATTTTTGCGGGCGTGTGCCATGTATGGGTCTACACCGTATGACCGCGAGTGGGTTGTCCGCTCAGGATTCTGCTGTGGCAGAGGTTGTACATCCCACGTGTTCGAATTCGAAAATGACGAGAGAATGAACAAAAAAAAAAAGAGAGAAGA